CCCCCCCCCCCCCCCTCGGGTTAATTATTTAACGAAGCCTAGGCAATTGTGGCTGCAGAGCGTTCAATTACTATCATGTCATACCTCAACCAAGGCGCTATATCTTCTGTCCAATTTTGATATCATGTGGAGTGCTTCAGAATGGAAAGGCGAGCTATCCCCGACGAAAATGAGAGTGCGACACCGGAGCCTTTTCAACCCTTCAGTAATGTCTGGTCTTCTGCAAAAGGGAAAAAAAGGTTGCGTTGCAGATTGACATATACGTGGATGAGCGGAACGAATGGTAGAGATGGGAAAAGAATTTACCCATTAATTGCTTGGAGGAACCTCAAAACATTGTTGCTCTGTCTCTCATCTAACAACTGACAGAACAGATATACCATCTTTATCAAACCAACCCAAAATTTGAACCAACAACGAGAAAAGTTCGAGAAACGGAAAAGGATACACGACAGACAAACTAGCACATACTTTTCTACAAGCTTGAACTATATCGGACTCTGCAACTTCGGCACTACCACGGACCTCCTGTTGCAAGTTACAACACAATCTCATGAATCCAGTCACCCACAACAATATCAAAGGTGAACACAGAAAAGTGAATTAACTCTAAGAATGGAAATCATATAACCTTGCTGAAGTACCGCTGAAGCAAGCACTCTTTCAACAACCCGCACATGCCATAGAAGTATAACAAGTTAGACATTACCTGCAAGTACAACGGATACAAGATATTTAACATGAATCAAAGCTTGAATGTAATTCTATCTATGAAGAATAACAAGGCTTGAAAAGGTTACCTTATTATAGAACCACTCGGACCAAGACGGTGCCTTGCATAAGGGGGATATAAGAATTAAACCAAGAACACGTTCTCTATATTTCAACTGTAAAATAATAAATTGGTCAGACCAAAAAAAACTTTTGATTGAGCTTCACAATAAATTTCACAATGAGATGAACGTACAGCAAAAAGCGTAAGAATGTAAGCGCCTGCTGTTACCCCCATGCACATCACTGCACCAAGTCTGTAATAGAAATAGCCAAATCAAAATCAACTATACAAGCTTTGATATCAAAATTCTAAAGAGGAGTCGAGAGAGGATGCATTGTAATTACCCAAAATAGTTGAGAACCTCAAGGATTTGATCTGCTAAATCATCAGCAGAGGGCATAGGATTATCCTGACAAATCTCAGCAGCTCCTAACTGCAAGAACTCTTGGTAAAGTTCCGAAAAGGAAGCTATGTGAATATAGTATTCAGAAGCAGATACAGTTATCCTCGTACACAAATTTACTCAACAATAATACAGACCTCATGTCCTGGTGGACTGATATGGTAGATGCAAAAGTTGTGAAGTAGCAAAGAAGCTGCTTCAGGGAAGAAGAATAATCCTTGAAAACACGACATATCTGCAAAACTCAGTGAAAAGAAACCACTTAAAAGTTATTTCACATATTTTGAAGATGATGTAAGAAACACAGACACTTTAGTTTAGCTCACTTGTCCAAGTCCTACACTTGTTGGACACATCTCAAACACTTGTTAGCACAATAAATGAGTTACATACTAGCTGTACATAGTCAATCTAGTTCAAACATTTGTTAAGTATACTAAATAGACATATAATGATGATTTTTTAGTGCAAAACACATCAAATTCATATTTTTAAGCATATAAATACATAAACATATGGACTTTGAATTTCCTTCTGGTGTAAAAATGTTAAATGTATATTTAAGTAAACGTGTCTTTGCCATGTTCATGCCCTAGATACTTACAAACTAACCTGTCACAGTATTTGTGTCTAGTATCCATATTAATGCATCTTAGATGGCGACTAAGAAGAACGGATAACTCCAAGCACTTACGATTTAGAGCCAAATCAGGATAGGTAATCAGTGGCGGCTTGTCTTGGTCTCCGCAAACTATAACAGACACAGAACCCTGGCCAGTTCGTATATGATGCTCCTGTGAATGACATAAGTGGCATTTGATATGAAAAGTATTGGGGGGAATCAAAACACTCAAATCAAAAAGAATATAAATAAGAAACATCTTGTAGTTGTCTCTCCCAATCACATATTATTCCTGTACGAGCTATGGGAGAGCAAAAAGGAAGCCCTTTTGGAAGGAAAAAAGTTCAAATAGTCCAACATTTCCAGCCTATTATATCCTAAAAGAACAGCCCATGTGCATTTCCTTTCAAGATGCCCAAGCTAACTTGTTCCTTCAATCTAGTACAACTTTATAAAAGTAGAGCGAAAATACGAATGTATATTTCTGCGTTCGAATTATCATTAGCTCAAAAATTATGACAACAGCCAAGATAAATAAGCAATCATATCTGTCAACACAAATAAAGTTTCATTACAAAAAGAAGAATAAGAAGCAAAAAAGTGGGTAAGGCGTTGGTTCATTCAGTAATGGGCTTCCAGCGATTAACGATCATATCCTCAAGGGATAAGTTAAGTACTAAGATAAGCAACCAATACTACAAGAAAGCAAATGGAAAAATATCTAACAAAAGCACTACCATCTTCAAACTCATTGATAATTGCGAAGTTCAAACAAACAATTCCCAAAACCCCAACTGAAAAACTAAAAATCCTAGAAAAAAAACACAAATTAAAGAGATACAAGATGTCTTAATCCTCATAAAAGCTTGACCAGGTGAAAACCCTTCGTCAAAAGAGGTAAAAGAAAATTGAATAGGAGGAATAACAGGGTTTAAAAATGTCAAGGCCTAGATAACAACGACATAGAACATAATGCAAACCAAAAAGAGAAGGAAAAAATTGGAAGGAAACAAAAAGGACCCCAGAAGCTAGAAATAGGAAATGATCAAATCCCATCGTTATCACATCAAGCATTTAAACAAGTAGGAAAAAACACCGATCCCTGAATCAAGAAAGTAGCCTCAAAACCTAACCCATTGCCTAGCTTAATTAATTAGTTCATTCATTTAAGGAAGAAGGGTTGGACTTAATTGTTAATAGCTTCCTAATGAATGGAAGATCCTCGGTCAAACGAGCCATGGAAATGAACTCCAGATCGGAACGGGAAAAAAAGAAAAGTGGGAAAGTAATAATCCCCAAATAATTTTCTCCTTTATATTCACATCCGAACAAAGCTATAGAATGCCATAAGACACTTCACCCATAATAAGAATCCCCAGCCCCACAGCAAAAAGAAAACGGGATTTTAAGCCATCAAATCATGAAGAGAAGAAAAAACCCCGCTAAAATCTCTCGATCGACAAAAAAGAAAGAACCGAGAAATAAAAAACGATTCAACTGCACAATAAACCAAGCCATTAAAGGCAAACCCTGGTGGAAAAAAGCAAGAAACGAATAAAATTAAGACAAACCGTTCCACCGAGATAGATCTTCTCCATGTCGACGGAAACAGAGTCGTTAGAATCTGCCATGGCCGAAGCTCTGTGTCCGTCCGATAGCGCTACCACCAAAACAGCCGGTCGCCGTCGGTCGCGGAGGTCCTCCTGTGTCTCTGTCTCGCTCGCTTTTACTCTCGTCTCTCTTCTTCCAGAATCATAGGCTTTGGATTCGTTGGCTTATATACAAAGCGATTCTTTCTTTTCTCTCCGTCTGTTTTAACAATCTCTTTCTCTCATTATTTTTTTATCTTTTTATTTTTATTTTTATTTTTTCTCTCTCAATTTTTTCCTTTTTATTTTTATTCTCTCGTCTAACTGGAAAATTTAACTGCGGTTAATTTCCACCGACGCTCTGAGACCCTCCCTACCAACTGATATTAACCCGTTAACCGTGGTCAATGTCCCGCCAGCTCAGCCTTTTAAAACCGAAAAGGACAAGTGCATGAACTTACCTAAACGGCGCCGTTTTAGTGCCGCCGAAATGGCAGTTCCTTTCCTCAGATTATTTTTCTGCTATAATATATTTGAAAATCGAAATTTTATTTTTATGGATATGTTGACGTTATTTTGAGTATTATAATATATTATATTTTATTTTTTATGAATATTTAAGGCTAACCTAAATCAAACTCGATAAAGATTCTTTAGGTTGGAAGCATGCATGACGTGATTTCTAAGGAGGCCAATTTTAGCCTCGACCTCGGTTCCTTATTGAGGGCGATGAAGGGGATGAAGATTCTTTGAGTCGAGAGCATGCATGGTGCCACAATGGACAATGAGATTGTGCCTTCGAAAAAGTCATCAATGACGATGGCTAGTTAAAGTGGAAGAGAATATCGTAACCGTACTACGAAAAAAGTAGGTTATGACTCTCACACGTAAATAAAACAAGATGATGAGATGGAAGTGGCACTCAATCGACCAAGCGAGGGTTGAGATAGACAAATGTCATAATGCGACCCAACCAATAATTTTGGAATTTCAACAATAAAAATATAATTTAACAAGAACGAGAAAAGAAATGATGAGTTAAATGGGTCCTATTACATTGAGTTTGACCAAAAGCTGATTGGTGTCATACTGATGCATACACCTGTCATTGGATACTCTTTTTATGGGATCCACGTGGCCCATACCCCTGACAAATAGGTTCGAGTACGTGTACAAAATAAGTCCTTTAAAATTTTCTTTTATTTAAAAAAGTAAAAATGATATTGCTTGCCTTTGATCCGACTCAATTATTAATCATGCCCATTTTAATCATATTTTAATATCAACTTCACTTACATTTGTCAATTTGTGAGTGGTTCCCTCACATTCATTCACCAACCTCCCATACATTAAATCATTTTTAAAAAAAAAATTCAAATGGACCCGAGAATATTGTACATCGTTCGGTGACCGACTCTAATACCATTTGTAACATCTCAAACCCACCGCTACTAAATATTGTCCGCTTTGGCCCGTTATGTATTGCCGCCAAACTCACTGTTTTAAAACGCATCTACTATGGACAGATTTTTATACTTTTATAAAAAATATTTTGTCCCCTCTCCAACCGTAAATATAAGGATTTTTCATCATTTCTCTGCATATATCTATGTTTATCAGTGTTCCATCCGTTCCCTCCATATATCTATTAGAGTAAAAAAAAAAATAATAATAATAAATTTACTCGCTCCCTGCTTGAGGGCTGCTATATCACGTGTAAGGGTTGATTATATAGACATACGAAAAGCTAAAATGTTTACCCGAGTGTGTATGTGTGTGTGTATATATATATATATTTGAACTTGCAAGAATTATTATTATTATTATTATTATTTGTATATATAAAAGAAAAAAAGTAACTAATCATGTCATGATTAGGGAACAAGTATGTGGTGGTTATGTTTGTTGAAAACGTGTTGTCTATGATCGTATATTCTTTACATACCAAAACCTGTGTTCTATTCACTCTATTGTCTTCCATTACCGCTTTCATGATGTATAGTTTATTTATTGTATTTTCTTAGTGTATGACGCTTCAAGTAGAATCATATCTATGCCTAGTAGATCTGAAACGCCTGATAATGAATTATTGGGGATGCGACTAGTCGTCAATTCTTCATTATCAGAGTTATATACCATGTAAGTGATTGTGTGTTTTTTACACTGACAATAGTAAAAAGGATTTATTTTAGATTTAAGATTATATTTTAAATTTGAGGTTAAATTTTATCAAAATTGATTAAATAATAAAAAATATATATTTCATAAAAAATAAAATTTAACATATTTTATTTTCGAACTTGAGGTAAGGAATGATTAATAAAGACAAATTTTTAATTTAAAAAATTAATAATAAACTAACAGTAAAATCAGTTTTAAATACAAATTTATACTCCAAAGTCGAAACTCGATTAATAAGAAATAGAAAATTAAAAAAGAAAAAAAAAAGACGTGTTTTCTTGCACCCTATTGGATGAAATCGATGGACCTACGTAAATGTACCCGAGGAACCAATTAGATCAAGCCACGTCAGCTATGTTATTTATTTATTTATTAGTTTTGTTTCGTCCTCTTGAAGACCGAAGCGCCTTTGTTTTCTTCGTTTGTTTGATTGATTTGATTTTGATTAGAACCGATTCCAATTTTCGTCCATTTCGGTGAAAAATCTTGTAGCGTAAAACTCTTCTTCCACCATTGTTGGAATCCTCAATTCAAATTCTCTGAATCTTAAACAGAGAGCTTCGTGAAGAAGATGAATCGATTACTGAGTGTTGTTTTGGTGCTTCTTGCCATTGCTTGGGTTCCGACGTTTGAGTGTTCGAAGAAGCTATCAGCAGCTGCAAGGAGGGAGGACGTTCCGTACATCAAATGCCAGGTCTGCGAGAAGCTTGCTGTGCAGTTGTATCACCAAGTTGAGAAGAAACGAGCTGAGATCGCTCCCAAGAAGGTGATTCTTTATAGCTGATGTTTCATGGATCGGTTTTGGATTCTTTAATTTAGAGATTCAGATTATAATCAACTCCAATCATTTTTTTTCCTGCATTTGAATGTTTTCCCTTTCTTTTGGGGTTCTTGATGTAGATCTCCGAGTATCAAATTATCGAAATAGCTGAGAACGTATGTAATTTGAAGAAGGCAGAAGCTGATTGGATTTTGCAGATTGACATTGTTGAACAAGGGGATAGGCTTGAGGTAAGTGGAACTGAGATGAGACTTTGCTGTTTCAATCTAATGAATTTAGGTATAAAACTTTGGTGACTTGTTACCACTGTTCGGGATTGGCATTTTCAACTTAGAAAATGAATGGAACGGTCCTATGAATCAAAACTAAATTTTCCGTTTACAATCATGATACTCAAAATATGAACGGAAATACCTTTTCTTTTAGTATTTTGCCGACAAGCAACTCAAAATATTAATAATCTTTCCGAGTTATATTGTTTTTATTACTTTATAAACTTCACCTGTAAGCCATAACTCATTGAAGAACTATGTCTTCTTAGCTAGTGGAGCAGAACACCGAAGGACAATGCAATTCAGAGTGCAAGACTATTGAGCGTGCATGTCAAGAGGTATGTATTGTTTTGGCCTTGAGTATGATGTTTATTAACCCTTATTAGCTGAAAGAATAAAAAATTAGTACAGCTTCAGAATCTGGGGAGATAAGAAATGAGAATCTCATTGTATTCATTTATTATTGATGTTTTTATGAAAAAAACCTTGACACAAACTAGTAGGAATAGTCTTCTTACTTCCTTAAGTAGTTTGTTTTTAGTAGATTACAAATCTTAATGAGGTCCACTGATTAGGTAAATGCAATATAAACAGACCAATACAAATAAATCAAGTAAAAGATGAACTAGAAGAAAAAAAAAAAAAAAAAATTCAAAGAATAGCCAGGAGGAGTTTACTGAATCTGAAGTGGTGTGTTTTGCTAGAATTGCTTTGACTCTGTGATAGAATAGATTCCCCATCGTGGGTTTACCAGAAAGAAAATATAGCAATTTCTTAAATTTGTTCTGTTGCCTTCGCAGGTCATGGGATATTCTGATACTGATGTTGCTGAATACTTGTATAGCTCCAAACCAAAGATTGAATCGTTGATTAACTATCTGTGCAAGGACCTCACTCAATCATGCAGTACTAAGCCGCCTCCAGTTCCTAAGGTAGCAACTAATCACATGCCGGTTTAACTGATCGATGAGATCATCCATCGTTTTTTGGTGTGAGCTAATTGTCATTGTCATTAAAATGTTGGGTTCTGGTACCTAAGGGGACTAACTTGTCCTCTAATTATATGTTTTAGTTAAATTCAAATGGTCTGTTATACATCGGTTATTCGTTAGAGATTAAAATAATTTTGAAATCCAATTTGTTCGATATATCCGTTGGTTAGGTTCGAGATAGTGAATAATTTTAATGATGCTTGTGGATAAAATTTATTTGGGTTCATTTAATAATCATGTTATTAGTTTTGGTTAAAATGTGGTTTTGAGTTTTTGACATTTTAGTGTATTGAGATTCAGTCTTCTATAGTTGATCCTTGTATTGTATTATGATTCAGGACAGGACACCAGGCGAGCCCTTCGTGGCCAAGTCAGCAAAGGAAGCTGAAATGGAAAAGATGTTGAGATCTATGGAGGTAATTAGTTCGTTGTTTTAGTGCTTGTTGGCCAACACTTCCTCAATTTCCAAGCCTCACCCACGCTCTTCACCTAAACCAGGGAATGCCAGGAGCACCCGGCATGAAAATGTATTCAAGAGATGATCTAATGAATATGAAGAATCTCGGAGGTGAAGATGACGATGAAGACGAGGAAGAAGATGATAAATTCCCTTCAAATTTGGTACTTAAAACATCTTTTATATGGCCAGAAGTTCTAGGAATCATAAATGTTCTGCAAAAATTTATTGGGAAAAAAACCTTTTTGTAGGGCAAAGTTTTGAGGGAGAAAGAGAGCAAGAGTGATTGGAAAAACAGGATCACGAAGGGCGTTTCGAAGGCAGGGGAAGCAATAAAAAAGCACGCTTACAGAGTGTCTAACAAAGTAAGGCAATGGTGGAGAGCGAAGTCCAGAGGCTTCAAAAGTTCAAAGCCCGCCGCCAAACAAGAACTGTAAAGTCTCTCAATAACATTAAAGTTAAATTCGTTGTATTTGCATCGCCCCATTAGGAAGCTAGCTAGTGAAACTGATAGCAAATACAGAAGAGTTCTTGTTCGAATCAATCAATGTTCTGAGATTTTGTAGTACTCTTCAGGAAGGCTAAAGCCTTGGATTTGGAAATGTTTTCTTTTTACAACTTACATTATAAATTGCAAAAATTGTCAGGAATTGAGAGTACATTCTCCAATTGCTTGTGTTGGCAGAAGAGGAACTATAAATTGTATTTAAAGCATCCAGATGGATAAATGAATACAAGCATATCAATAAGGTATAATTGTCAAACCTAATTAATTCCTTAAGAAGATGTAGCAACACACGAATACATAGATTGTGATCGAAAACAAGCCAGTGTTGTTGCACTGTTGTTGAATCAACGCATCTTGTAATGTTGAGTCTTCGAGATCGAGCATCGACGTCCATGGAACGAATATTTCAGCACGATATCAATATCGCGAGAATTCTTCTTGTTTGGAGCAACATTCAAGCTACCAGTGATGGATTCTCCTTCACAAATGGTGAGAACATCTTCCAAGTATAGAACTGTTTGCTTCCAATGTGTGGCTCTTGATCTCGGCCCTGTAACATAATATTGCAGAAGATTCTATCAATTCTAAAACTAAAATTGGCAGGATAAGATACAAAATAGTAGTCATGAATTACAATAGCCTAAAAATACTTGTTTCATCCCAGTAGAAATTTACCAGTAGAGAATCCAGTCAACTTATGGCACTTGGTAAAAGATACATCAAAGTAGGCAACAAGAGCATGAATGTAATCGTCACGTTCTGCTATGAGCTTGAATGGGGCAGTAAAGGAAGCATCGCCTGGCGCCATTTTGGATATATCCATCGTCTGAGTGAGACCAACCCAAACATATCATCCATAATGAAAACAGGTATAAGAGAAGGATCACTAAAACCCAAGTGTAAAATACTTCTCTTTTTAGACCATGGAAAATAGAATCCAAAAAAATGTCATCTATAATCGAAGTTCATGAGACTAGAACACCAAACATTCAAAACTAGGACGAGATTACAGTCGTCGAAGATTTTCAAGGCGATAAAGATAGAAATAGCATTGGAGGAGATTCAAAAAATTAGATAACTGATGGAAGCTTTTAAAAGTCAAAACTTTGAGATGTGATAACAAGCAAGAAATGCTCATGTTCAACATAAATATTGAACTTCATTATTTGACCAAGAAACTATGGCAAACATGATGTATTCAAGTGTCAATTAACTCAGTTTTCAGTGAAAGTGTTTCGTTATCACCTTAAGTAGCTGACAGTTTGTAACAATTTGATTCTGGTCAACAGTGTCCACCAAAGGCTCCACCAAGGCTTGCCTTTTGATGCAGCTCATGTCAAACCCATATACACTATTCCAAACTATTTTAGCATGAAGATGAACAAGGAAACAATGTCAGAAAAGATTGCAGCATATATAGCTGAACGATTCAAATAACATTTCTAGCTGAGCGATTCAAATAACATTTCTAGCTGAACGATTCAAATAACATTTCTAGCTGAACGTACACTCAATCTTGTCTTCTTTGTAGTCTGCATCCTCAATGGCTGTTAGATACAGAGAAGCTTTGTCTGGTAGTACAAGACCATCATTAACCTGCATGACGGAAACAAAATAGCATATGTGAATATAAGGGACCAGCTGAAATTCCCACATTTGGCTTTCCCCATTAAGTTATTGAGCCTTGGATTAGAGAATGGATGAGTGACATTAAATCATCGCAAGAATACAGAAGCAAATACACAGAACACTCTTCAAACAGATTACTTATGCTAAAATCTCAGCAAATACACAGAACACTTACAAGCCACTTATCACGAGCATATAGGACTGTATTTAACATATTCTCGAACAACAAAAAGTATCCCATCCATTCTGAAATAATTATGTCTACTCTAGCAACAGGAAGCTCAATTTCTTCAATCTTCCCTTTCAGAACAGTTATAACTGCCAAAAAAACACAGGGTTTTGTGATGAGAAACTGCTATACAAGAAAAGAAAATAACTGAGAGAATACAATTTTATGAAATTACAACAATTGGGTACAAGAGGAACAAGAGATATAAGAAAGATACCATTAGAAAATCCATTGGCTTCGACTATCTCTTTTGCCATATCAGCCATATGGGAGCACTCGACCTGTAAACGAACACTTCCTTAGAAGCAAAAACTAAAAGAATAAACCAAAGAAAGGGGAAAATAGAAGGCACATTCCCACATCACAAGAGCCACCAAACTTACAGCATAAACATGTGCTGCTCCAGCTTTGGCACAAAATAGGGACAAAATGCCAGTCCCTGCTCCCACGTCAAGGACAACTTTATCTTTGAATAAAAACTTATTTTGATAAATTACATTTTGATACGTCTTAGTTCTAACTGAATCCTTCAGCATTTCCTGCAACAAGAAAAACAGCCATGCTAAATTTCTGTAAGATACAATATGAAAAACAACTCTTTCGGCTTGCATCCATGTTGGAAACTTACTTCGTGAATGCCTGCACAAGTAAAACGAACAAATTACAAAAAAAGTAATTAATTTCACTTTCAGGATCTTACTTGAAGATGAATAACAAATTGTGAACCAGAAGTCACGGACATTCCCAAAAACAATAAATGGATGAACGAAAACACAGCATAATAATAAACACATTCACGCAGACTTTTCCCGTACTAAACAGCAAGGAGCGTTCAACATATGTCCAAGGACAATATTTTTTTTTTTTAACCCAGGAGAGTAACAAAGGAACTTTGAGATGTTAAACCTAAATCGCAATTCAAGTAAATCAATTACTAAAAGGAAGTGCAGGTTTAAAGGCATGTCCATAGACTATATTCCAAAATACAGTAATGATAGAACCTAGAACCGACGGTGAATCAAACTAAATGATATAATCGAAATAAAGGAAGAAGAAAACGCCTACAAATCAGCAAACCGAGAGGAAAAACCATTACCGAAGTGAGAGTAGGAATCGAAGTAATAATCAGCGCTGGTTTTATCATCTTTGTCATCCAAGGACTGGGCAGGCTCACACGCGGAGTCTTCAATGACTCTGTTAGAGTCGTCGGCTTCACACATGGACTCGTCGATGTTGGAGCTCTCAGTGGTTTCTTCAATCAGAGCTTCGTCGTCGTCTTCGAAGCGAATCTTGGAGCCCTGGGGCTGAGGCAGGCCATTGAGGGGGGATGAACTGTGACCACCATTTCTCCGGCGACCCATGATGGATTGGTTGCGAAGTAAACGAATAGATTAGGGCTTTCGGGTGGGGTTTTAGTGTAGAGCAGTGTTTCGCCGTAGAACTCAACTGCGCGGCTACGAGCGAGTTTTTGAAGTGCTTTTAAAGCAGCGGACTAGTTGTGTTCCACGTTCATGAGTTTATTTCTTTTTAATTAATTAATTTATTTATTTATTTATTTTAAATATAATACTCGTGTCATAAATTATTTTTAAAAAATAAAATAAGCTTTGTTATGATTTAATTAGCTTAAATTAAGGTTTTTTTCTATGGTTCTTTAATAGGTTGATCTAAAATAGATGCCCCTGGACCATAATTAAATTGAGTAAGCTGTAATAGTGTTAAATTTTAAGTTTTAATTTTTTTAATTAAAAATAGTTTGCTTGATAACTCAATAAGAGTCTGCCCACGTGTAGATTCTTTAACAATAATTGGTATACGGATTGGATGTCTAATTGTCTAGGTGGTAGGCGGTAATGATAGTATCTTGTACCTAAACCACCGTGGCTCACTTTTTCTAAGTAATGGGGAAGAGGAACAAAATATATCATTGATATGAGCAGTTGGTTAGATCTAGTATGGATCGGAGAAGAGGAACAAAATATATCATTGATATGAGCAAAATATATCATTGATATGAGCAGTTGGTTAGATCTAGTATGGATCGTACATGGACTGTATGATTACGGATTGGATATCAATTGATAATGATAGTATCTTGTACCTGAACCATGGTGGCTCGTCTAATTGTTCAGGCCGTAATGATAGTATCTTGTACTTAAACCACAGTGGCTCACTTTTTTTAAGTAGTGGAGAAGAGGACCAAAATATACTAGTTAGAGTCGGCCACTCTCTTAGGGTTCATTTTTCATTAATTGAGTAGACAAAAATTACGCTGATATGCCACTCTCTTACCACTCTCTTAAGGTTCATTTTTCATTAATTGAGTGTAGACAAAAATTATGCTGATATCCTGATTTTTTCTTGATTTTTCTCCATTTCTTCTGAACTTGATAATAATATCTAAATAAATAATACATTTTAATAGATTTTTAAATACTTGTTTTTCTTTTAGTTTTTAAAATTTGACTATAACTTAAATCACATGTTTGAAAAGTTGTTAGGGAAGATATATGGGCCAATAAACATTTATAAATTAAAACTTTAATAAATAATTACTGAAGTAATTAGTTTTAAGGTTACTATATGAAGGAAATTAAGGAGGAAATCAATCATTTTAGAAATAGGAGACTACCCTGGGTGGGATAGTTCAACGGTAATTATAAATCTCAAGAATTAACTTTTAATCTTCAAAAACTAAAAACGTTACCGAATAATTAAAATTGAAATATACTCCACTACACTAGACATTTCACCTAGCATTATGACAAACCTATTATTTTCCACATTGGGAAATAGCCCGAATTTATTCTAGATATAATATTATTGGAGATAAATAACTTTTTTTTTAAGAACTGAAGTCAGGTCAGAGAGTTTAATTTAGATCATAAGAGGGTAAAACGGGGGATGCAGGAGCACCTGATGCCAGTCGAGTACTGGACGCAGCGCAGGCAACTCAAGAACACCACTCGAATGCCATTTCCGGCGCAGCACCTTTTATTTACTATAACGACTGACGACTACCCTACTTGGCGGCGGCAGATTTTTTGACAATTGGCCATGGGCCTCCGGCCATAACTGCCTCTATTTCCGATGTTTCTCGAGGACAATTTGACATGTTCCTGCAGCCATTGGCAGTGACTAGCTGCAAAAGCCAAACAGAAGACGTCAAATATGATTCTATGGTTAAATTAAAATTGAAACTAACCAACAATATTGCTCTGTATTGGTTTTTTTAAATGAAAAAATTAATATCCAAAACCAATCCTAACACGTCCTCAATTATCTACTAAAGTAGCGATGTTGGTCTCTTCAACCATTATTGTGGTTCCTTTTTTATTTTGCACAAGAAAATTGAGCCAACGATCATTATAGTTCAAACTAACGGAACTGACTCAATATGAACAGTTTCAGCCGGTGGCTATGACTATAAGATTGCCGGAATTTGTTAATAGAAGAACAACATATGGTCATATGTCAAGTTGTAATAAGCATAAGTTTGGAAGGGAATGTGTAGTGTACCACATCACTTTCAATTCGAACACCACCAAAGCCTCTAAATCTGTTCAGTGCTTTGACATTGAAAAACTTGGAAGTTTTGCTATTCTCCAGGGCCGGGTCTAGTAATGCATCAATGAAGTAGCATCCGGGCTCCACAGTAATGACCTGCAAATTAGCAAGAAAATTAAACTTTGTATTGTTTTCATTCCAAGAATACATTATAGCAAACATAACACTTTGAGACTGACGAGGAACGAAAATGAGGAAAGTAAACATAAAGACAAGGAACCAAGACGAGTATTGAATTAAGTAATATAATGAAAAAATATTGATAATTTCCTCTCCCACTCCTATAACCAGAAAAGCTTAGAAAACAACACATGTACTGTAACCTTAGCCAGAAATGAAACATTAGTTTCAAGACCACACATAAACGATTGAATCGCTGTTGCGTGCAGCTTGCACTTTTCTGCACTGTCCATTTTTTCCCTCTCGCAAAAACCAAAGAACAGGACAAAGGGAAAAAAAGGGGCCACGATTTCATTAATCTTCGGCTGGGGTGCCTCTTTCTTTAACCTGCCTCTTAAATAAAGCCCTAATTTCTTTAATTTTCCATACTTCCAATTTCCAAATACCATGTTTTCTTATATTAAATCATTTCTATTAATATTAGATAATATTTTTCTAAGCCTTGCTTAGCTCCAGAGGATAATTGCACCTCACCCTATAAAACATTGACACCACTAGGTAATCTAGCAAACAATTTGTTATGGCGACTTGCGACTAGTAAGGAAGAACCAAAAGCTATGGCTATAACTAACCATTCCTTCTTTAAGATCACGGACTGTACGTAAAGCATTTAGCCCTGGTTCTTCAGGCCTCTCCAAACCCTGTAAAAGCATGCCAAATGTTACGAATTGAAAAAGAATATTTTGCTTGCAAGCCAATAGAACTTTTGTTTTTCCTATTCTCTATGTTCTCCTTTTAACCCATTTGTCACTTTATTTTTCCTAAGTTTGTAATGGTTTTGTCGTATGCACAAATGTGAAGTAGAGATAAATAACATAAAGCAAATAATCATCCACTGGAACCTGCAAGTAACCTCCAGGATCGTGAGTATCGATACCAAGGAAATGTCCCAAACCATGTGGCATGAATACAGCCCCAAGATGCTCAGCTATCATGTCCTTTACATCTCTACAACAAAATAACAACTTCTCCTTATTCAAACAGAAAGCAGACTGCAAGAGAATAATATATATATAGGTTTGGGGTGGGGTCGGGAGGAGAATGTACCCAACAAGTACAGAACCCTCGGTCAATGACTCAAGAATAGTCTTCTCAGCTAATCTGGTATATGAAAAGAATGTAAATAAGAAAGCATTTGACCAACATTGACAAGATGTACAAGCCATAAATAAAAATATTGAGACAACAACAGTTACATGTTAGAAACAATGTCAATTAGATGACATGCTAACAAAAACACATACGCAGGAAAGTAAAACAGCATTTAAAATGCAACATTCTTTTAAAAACATCCATGCATGTTCATTTACGAGCACCACAACTAATCTCATGAAACAATCACCGGACATTTCAAGATTTAGTTGTAAAAAAACTCTCTTAAGTCTTCTACTATCTTAAGTAGCTACCATAGGAACCCATTCCCCAAAGTCACTTTACCTTCATCACACGTCATAATGACAAATAGGTCAACCCAGCAACTAACGTATGTATCTAATCTAATGAATGAAAAAGTCAGGCTAGAGATGGCATAAAAGAAGAGGAAAGCGGGCAAACAAAGTATCACTATTCCAAATGATAGCTTTTGTCGCATTTATAAGCTAACTGGCGACAAAAGTTTAATTACAGGGGAATTTTAACCTTTACCATGTGTAGCTTATACAAGCAGATTTATGTATCTCAATTTCTCAGTAAGAAAACAATCATTTAGACCTTTTCTTCATCACCTGATGTAAATGAATTGCATATAACATCCACGGTTACACCTCAAACTATTTTGTACGATCAAAAGAAAATCAGAGCAGGGATATCAATAAAAAGCCTACTTGTGCATTTCAACCCAGTTTATTCCCGGTTTCATAACTGATATAACAGCATCGTGAGCCTTGAGGACAGCCTGCAACACAGGGAAACAAATAGTCAACCACATGTCTAAGAGAAATAGGGAGGAAAAAAAAAAAAAAAAAGAGTTAACCTATCCTTGTGCCAAGGGAATAGCAGAAAAGTAGTGGACTGCATTTCAAGAGGAACTTACGTTATATATCAGCGATTGATCACTTGTAAATTTACCATTCACCTGCGACAAGGATGAACATATGTTATGGAAATTCAAAAAGATTGATATAAACTAAATGATAAACTAAAGAAAGTTTTACTTGGAGGCGCAATAAAATGCTTTACTTCAAAAAGTGGTTGCCTAATTTTTCCAGGTGATTTTAAATCCTAATGAATTCATTTATATATTATCCATTAAATTAAAATAACTGAAAACCTGTTTCAAATTTTCCTTCGACTTTTGAAAAGTCCCCAACTAAAGTGGTTGGATTTCACAAGATATCAAACCAAAGAATTTCAAATCATTTCGAGTTTTTCAAATCACATAATTTAATATAATTTCTTAGACATTGATTCCTAAAAGTGTACAGTGAAGAATAATATTAAGTTCACTTAAAATGAAACAGCATGGAATAAATGTCACCCACTGGGAATGAACAAGTAATGTCAGATGCATAAAACTTGTATTCTGCTCCCATATCAAACAACGCCATATCACCATCTTCCAACGTCTGCATTAGAATAAATAAAATTTCTGTTCTGAATGCTTCACAAAAGATTCAATGAGAAATTAAGGATTACTATACTCTACTTGGACATCAACAGGATATTAACATCAAAGGATAAAATTATTTTAATTCAACATACTCTGTCATTTGGAGCTGC